TGTGTGTGTGTGTGTGTGTGTGTGTGTGTGTGTGTGTGTGTGTGTGTGTGTGTGTGTGTGTGTGTTTTCTCTCCCTCCCATGATGCTCTCAGTGATTGTAAGCTTTTATTTTGAAGTTATTGTCACACCGTTTCACATCATTGCATTCAGTACAAGATATAGTAGGAAAGTATCTATATTCACAGCCAGACATTGTCAGCATTTTTGATTTATTGTGCCCATGTACAGATACAGATGTAATTGTTAATTCTAAACTGTGGAATAGTTGGCTGCTTACTGAGATTATTAAGTTCTACTGAAACTTTAAAAATGCCTCAAAGCCTGTTTTGGTTTCCTTTGTTTTTTTTGGTATCGTATAGTGAAAGTGACTTGTCTCTCTGTATGGATAACCATATTTTCTTGCTTGTGTGTAAGCTTTTAATTTGAAATGTAATGTGTATTTCCCTTTTTTCCAATTAAAGTCAAACATTGCCTTGCAGAAAACCTTTATAATCGGTGTATGCTGAGCAATCACAATTTAATTCACCTTCATTACAAAATATATAATGCCAACACGTTCTGGGATTAGGACTAAAGCTTCAAACTTTTTTATGTTGAACTTTTCGTGGCAGTTCAAAGTGATTTTACCTAAAACATGAAAGACCTTAAAAAAGGATCCCAAGGCAGGATTGAAAAGATACCTTTCAGTGGGATTTAACAGGGAATGGAAGCCAAACATGAGTTGAAATAAAAAGAAATGGATAAAACTAGAAAATAAAGGTTACAAAAATGAAATAATGATCTGATTCAGGTCATTTAAATGCGAAGGCAATGAGAAAAGTTTGATCTGTGATTATAAGTACTGAGGAAGTTTGTTCCTATAATGTGATATAAAAGATGTATAAATATATCACATAATGGCTCTGTGAAATGAACACAGATTTGGCAATATTAGTCAGATCAACATATTTAAATTTGGTATAAATATTAGTCATCATCAGAGATCATAAAGTGTAAAATATTCCCATGACCATTAGGGATATTGATGTGGAGATTCATTTTCTAAGGATGTCACAGCTCAGAGAAATGAAAGATACTCAGGTTAGACAGCCAACAGTGCAGGTATAGTATTAAAGCATTAACTAAATACTTATTGGAAATCAGTAATAACTTTGATATCAACTGTTTAAGTCATTAATGATATACTGTGTGAGTTTTGGCTCCTTTCTTCCTGTCTGTGCTCCAACAGGAGAGTGCGATGGCCAGGCTTCATTAAACATGAATTTGAATATTTTACTCAAATAGCCTCTGAAGTCATCAGATCATGTGATGGATGTGCAGCTGGCAACCGTGTGATGCTGTTATGTCCATTTGGACACAAATCTCTCCAGAATGTGTCCAGCACCTTGTTGAATCTCTGCCACGAATAATTAAACCAGTTCTGAAGGCAAAAAGGGGCTCAGACTCAGTGCTAGATAGGTGTACAGTGGGCAGTGAGTATATGTTTCCTTGAAAATTTATTTGAGGATGCAGTTTGGCTGTTCAGTAAAGGAAGCACCTCTTTATTGTAAACAAATCAAGGGAAAGGAAAGCACTAGCAGTAATGTGTTATTTAAGCACAGTGCATTTACAAACTCACCTGATCAAAACGGCCTGACTGTGTTTGATAGTCATCTTCTGCCATCTTCTCCTCCCTCTCTCAGAGCTTGGTGCTGCAAGTTGGCCAAAAAATGCTGGAAGAGGAAGCCCGAGAAGCTGAGAGGGAGAAAATGCAGTACTTGGAAGAGAATTGCACAGCCCTTTTCATTCCAGGCAGTATGCAGGATCTCCAGGTAAACCTACGGCACCTGGAGAATTTGTTCATGACTGATGATAAACTTAGCAGGCTTTTTGTTCACCTATGGAAGCTGTAGTTTGGTTTTAGAGGAGAAAGTATTTGTTCTGGTGCACTTGCCTTTAACATCCATAACATCACTGGAAAATGAAAGTGTGCAAGCTCTACTCTTCCTCTGTATCCATCCCCTACCCAGCAACTATAGAAAGTTGGAGATGATAGAAAACTTGCTTTGTAAGAAAAATGTTCAGGATAGTACACTGCTGTTAAGTGTGTCGTGTTTATGATTGAAAAAACAGACAAACAAATAAACTTTCTCACTCTTTCTATCTATCATAACTCCAGGAGCTGTGTTGCAAACTTCACAAGCAGATTGATTTGGTGGATGAGGAGCGATACAACATGGAGGTCAAAGTGGCAAAATCCAACAAGGTGTTGTATTCAGAAGCTTCTTCTGCCATTATAAAGTTATACAGTTATACAGTGCTTAACAAGGTTAATGGAACACCTCCCGATGTAAGGTTTATGCCACAGCTCCCCTAAAGTAACAGTATATGTAATTTCCAAAATCATTTTTCATTTTTTCTGTATTGGCAAGATCTTTAATCGAAGTGACATTTTTTTAGTTTAAAAATAATTTTTAAAAATTTATTCTAATTTATTCTAAAATGTTTGTTGTTGTTATTACCAAAACACATATGTCTGAACAACAGTGTTCTATGTCAGGTTGATGACCTTAAGTTGAAGATTCAGTATCTGAATGGGAGGTTTAAGAAGCCAGTCCTGAAAAAGGTGCGGATGTCAGCCGATGCCATGCTGGCTGGCCTGCTGGGCTCCAAACATAAAGTGTCCATGGACCTGAGAGCCAGCCTTAAGCAGGTTAAGAAGGAAGTGAAGGACGAGGTAGGTGCTTTTGATGTTATATTAGGCAGATGGAGCACATAGTAGCATCCTTCACTGAAAAAAATTAGGAAGATCAGAACGCAACATGAAAGGCTTCACTTTTTGTTACTGCTTTCCTTTGAATGTGTTTCTTAGGAGAAGCAAACGGGCGACTGGGGTAAAAAAAATCGAAGACAAAACTGGCATGGGTGGAAGAAAAAAGATGTTCGATACAGAGGCTTAAATGTCAGCATGTTTTTTTCTGCAGTTCACCAGTGCCAAGATTTGCCAGAAGTCACTTTTTAAATAAATAAAAAAGAATAAATCCAGTGGTGTTCTGATGTATTTAATGAACGTAATTTGACAAATGCAAACAGGCTGATAAAGAGCACAGTGTTCCGCATGCGTATAAATCGAGGTGAACTCGTTTTATGAATTCCAAGAGCAAGAAATGAGACAGAAGTGTTAAAAGGCAGCTGAAAAAATGTTTTCTAAATCCGTCCAGCTCATTATTAATAAAGTTTTTTTTTTTTGGTAGGGTTGTCGGTCACGTGAGGATACGACGTCACGAAAACCCTGTGATACACTGGTTGTGGAAGTAAATCAGTACTGGCAACAGAGGGCTGCTTTCTTTCTAATATTTCCAGATAAATACCTGTAAATAGAGCAAAACCAACCGCTTTAAGACGCTGAATTACCCTCCCTCAGAACCAAAATGACAGCGGCGGTGTTTTTCGGCTGCACCTTTATCGCCTTCGGCCCAGCCATCGCGTTGTTCCTGTTTACCATTGCCCGGGAGCCGCTGAGAGTCATTTTCCTCATAGCAGGGTGAGAGTTAAACATTCACTGGTCATAACGGACGGCAATTGACTTAAATATATAATAATTTGGTAATTACAGATGCTACTGCCACGTTATATTGAATAAATCCCAACCTTTAGACAGTGTTAGCTTACTAGCTAACCGATCGTTTCGTTTCTTAGCTGATGTGCTATCATTAGCTTCTATTCTCTGGTATTATGGTCTTACACTTTGCTGGTTTTTTTCTTTAGCCATACGTCACCACATTCCGATTTACACAGCTTCATAAATACACCGACCTTTTAAAGTTTTAAAGCCCCAGCAATGCCTGATATTAGTCACCCAAAGATAGGAAAGAGCTAGCTTAATGAGAGCCTGAGGGACTTTTATTAGTTTTGTTTCTTATGGATCTTGCAGATATTGGAGAATGCTGACGACTTATGTCAGTAAAAGGTGGCTGTATACACACACGTAGTTAGTTAGCACTATGGTGGATTGGCTTTTGAAATAATTCATTGCTATTGTAGTGTTATAGGGTTCAGATACGGTCTTGACCTAAGTGAGATATAAGCTTGTGATCATAATTGTGGTTGTTGATTGATAACATACATCTTACCGGTTAATTTGTAAAAGTGCCGTGACGTTACGTTTGTGTTCGTTGACACTTTGTCTCCTTGTTATGGTCAATTAATTCTTGCTATTTGAAGTAAAAGTAACTAAATAGTCCTCTGGTATCTCAAGATAATCCTGATTGTGCTATCACTTCGGTGCTGCTCCCCAGTTCCTCCTCAGTCTGGAAGTATTTTTTTCTTAACCCTCCCTTTACTTTCATTTAATTGGCTGACCCTCGCAAATAGAACTGTTGAAAAAATAAAGGAGTCAGGCTTCTGGGCTCACAGCAATGCTGGAATTGCTGTGAGCCCAGAAGCTTTGAGATAGCAGTGTGGGTAATATCTGTTTTCTTTGTTCTCATTCTTTCAGGGCATTTTTCTGGCTGGTGTCGCTGCTGTTCTCCTCCCTGGTGTGGTTCATCTCGGTTCAGATCAGTAATAAAGAGAGCGCGGCACAGCAGAAAGGCCTGCTCATCTTTGGCGTGGTGCTGTCTGTGCTCTTGCAGGAAACCTTCCGCTTCGCTTACTACAAGCTACTAAAGTAAGTGGCTGCCACCATGTTTAACTGTTTTATACTTTATATAGTGTGACTCCAGAGAACTGTTTCTTACTAGAAGAGCTGAAAGCCCATACTTCAACTTCCTCAACACGTATTCACTATTTATTATTTATTTAACTAAGAAATATTAAAGCATGACCTCTGAATTCTGCACTGTATCGTTGTTGTCCCTTGATGAGTGTCTGTCTCAGTTGTCTCAGTTTCACACTCTTCAGTGTGAACTTGTACAATTTTCATTGTTCATCTCAGATCATCTTCCACTAAATGACATACTTTCATAACTGACATATTTTCTATTCATGTTCTGTAGCACACAGTGAGACTCAGAACCAAAACTCTGTGTGTGTGTTTTCCTGCAGGAAAGCAAATGAAGGCCTCCTCACTCTCAGCCAGGAGGAGACCATGCCCATCTCCATCCGACAGCTGGCCTATGGTACACTTAGTCTGCACATCATCTTCTGTGCTTCATATCACCTACTGGTAGCATATTCATTCACCCACGATTCTGCCAGAAGACAGAACATTGAGCACTGGTTACCTCTTTACAACTTTGTCATTGTTTGTTTTTGGTTTTAAAACTCACTTTTGTACTATTCTGTAAAAACATTTTTTTAAATATACAAGAAACATTAGCATAAAAATGGCAAATTGCACTGTATGGACAAAAGCACTGGACCACATGCATATTATAGCTATAGGAGCTGCTCAGCCATATAGACCCATACCTTGAAGCTTCCAGCACAGTGTTTGTGCTGATGTCAATATCAGTGGTTTTAATGGGGAGGATTGGAGCTCTGCAATGCCACTTAGTGATCATAAAATATCTATGGGGAAATTTCACAAACAGACTATTTACAATGATCATATTCTACTACATTGCTACACTCTAGTTCAGTGAGCTCTTTAGAGTGACCCCTTGTTTCACAAACATTTGTAAAGCGAGACTTCATGGAAAGATGCTTGATTTTACACACCTGTATTCAGATGTTAAGAGGTGTGGATCGAAACCTTTGGCCGTATATCATATGAGCACAAACTGTGAAAGTGCTCATTCTTCCCCACTAGGCTCTAACAAAAGATGCTATCAAGTAGCATCAATAAATTTCTAAAGAAATTGTTAAAAATGAACATCTAGCACACTTTGGACATGATCTCTTATTTGCAGGTTGTTTAAATTTGCTTGTGGTTTACAGTAAACAATATTTTCTGTACAGTGGGGCTGTGTGATATGAACAAAATCTCATATCCCGATATAAGAATTCCACCGTCCTGATAACGATATAAATCACAAAAATGTAACATTTTCTGTAAATTCTGTGAATCTCGGGCAGCTCGACTTGCGGGAAGTGTTTCCAGCTGCGCGTCATGTAGCTGGAGTCGAGTGTTTTAACCGATGCATGAAACTATACATTTTTAGACATAAGTTGTAACGGCCGCCGTTTTCTTTGTATTTATTACACGGCGTGCTGCGGGGAAAAGCCTGTTCTAACGTTTGAGTCTAAGGTCTATTTTTTAGCACCTGGCGGCTCTTTTTTACTTCTCATCCATAAATAATCTGCTCTTTCACATGATTCAGTTTATTTTGAAAAATCTCAACAGGATCTCGAGCTTTATTGTAAAAGGTTTATGTGAAACATAAACAAGGGGACACGCGATGGTGCTACCGTCGTTGTTGCTAACGACAAAGCATTAAAACAGGCGCTTGTCCGTGCATAGTGTGGTTATATTAAATATAAGAGAAAGAGAGAACTTTAAGAAATGAATATAGCCACAACAGTGACCATCAAAACAATGAAAAAAATATTGCCGTAAACATTTTATTAGGCGACACCATGAAACAAACGATAGCGTAAAATCAAACGAAAGACGATATCGAACAGCCCTAGTGGTCCCTAGCTATAATGCAGTGCGCTGTTTCGTGGATTTTCTTTGGTGCAATTTTGCAGTTTTTTTTTTAAGCAGCACATTGTGTTCTGCATCCTGATTGGCCGTAGACCATTGTCAATCAATCTCCTCTGTGCTGTGTCTCCTGTACAGTACAGAATGTCTGCAGCTTGTCAAATTTACATAAATCTTTGATCGCTTGCAGTGTGACTCTGAAGTACTGTACTGTATGTTTGTAAATTTTCTCCCCAACAAACGCAACAATGTTAATGAAACGTTGTGCACCGTCAAAGGCACCTGTGGTAGCACCCAAAAGGCAGAGGAAGATGGTAACCATAGCACAAAAAGTTGGACTTCTGGACATGCTAAGGGAAGATAGAAGTTACCATATTTTTCGGACCATAAGGCACACTGCATTATGAGGTGCATTAAGTAAAACAAAACAGTCAGATAAGTCAAACTTTACTCAAGTCATTCTTCCACCATTGATTCATTAATGTTGAATTCTCTGGCAGCTGCTCTATTCCCATGTTCTGGACCTGAAACAGGGTTTGATCTTTGGTTTCATTCTACAATACTGGACTTATTTTTCTATGAAGGTTTGAATTTTGAGGGTGTTTAAACAAGAGAGAAAAATGTTCATGCCTGTCTGAGAAAACTGTCTAAAGTGTCTAGTGAGGAGTGTTACAGCCTTAAAACATCTATAATAATTGTGAAAAAAATGAAATTGGCTACTTTGTGGACTTCACCTATCGCGGGTTATTTTTACAATGTAATTCCTGTGATAAGGGACCATTCAATTCAATTCAATTCAATTTTATTTATATAGTGCCAAATCACAACATAAGTCGCCTCAAGGCCATTCATCTTGCATAGTGCCGAATTTGCTTTGGGATTAGCATCGCACAGTCTTTCTTATGTCTCAGCTGTCTTCTCATTCTTTTGTCTCAGTTTCAGGTCTCGGCTTCGGCTTCATGAGCGGAGCGTTCTCTGTGGTGAACATTCTGGCTGACTCAGCAGGGCCGGGGACTGTGGGGATCCATGGAGACTCGCAGCACTACTTCCTGTCCTCAGGTAACAATTAGCATGTACTTGTTTTTTGTTTGTTGTTTATTTTATTGTCAAAAACCTTTATGTTTCTGCCGTTGAGCAAGTCCATAGATTCGTAAAACCTTTTTCTTTCTTGTGTTCTCTTCACACACACACACACACACACACACACACACACACACACACACACACACACACACACACACACACACACACCAGATGAACTACTTCCACTGCTGGAACCAGAGT